TTAAAAAGACAAATCTAAAAATAATTAAAATTAAATGTTTGTGTAAAAATGGCAAAAATCAGGTGGAATTTAATAATAATAATAATAATAAAAACAAAACCCCAGCTCAGGCTGCACGACAGAGAGAAACAAAACCAAAACAACAAAACTCAAACAATTTCAAGTATCCAAATTTCCAAAAAAATTTATTCATTTTTCAAACTGCATATTGAAAAAAAATATATTCAGCTGAAACTGTAACTGTTATAAGGATGGTATTAGTCTCGGTTTATATACATGGAGTGGTTGGCTTGTGTGTGACAGGCCAGGATTTTTTCAAAACACAACTACGGGAATGAGTTTCTGAAGATGAAAGTAAAAAATAAAAAAACTTAAAATGCCACAGTAAATATACAGAAATTGTACAAATCAATTAAAAATTAAAAAAAACACAAGCTTCTAACAGATGAAGAGTGGGAGACGGAAATATAAATTAACCTAATTTTTTTTAAATGACAGCAAATAAAAGTGTTTTGYGTTGTTTTTTTGTAAGGAATAAAATAAAAAGTTTAGTAACATTGACTTTAAATGAAAACAAAATAAAAGTATTACCTGCTGCTTATGTCCCTTTTCATCCCAGTAATAAAAGAGCAGAACTGGTCGCTCCATAAAATCCCAGTTCTGCTAAATTTCACTCGTTTTTTTCTCTCTAGAGAACTGGTTTTGTTTTATATTTTAAAATAAGAAAAGGGGGAAAAACTTTTGCAGTTTAACAATTTCATCTGATTGTAATGTTTCCTTGATAAATACTGTACAAAAGGTGATTGCAATAATAAACTCATCTGATTGCGACTCCCACTTTCTACATTTGCAAAACTTCATCCACCAAGAAGAAGAAGGAGGAGGAGGAGTAGGAGGAGGAGGAGGAGGAGGATCCCCCATCAGCTTCCTTAGATTAAATGAAAGAAAACAAAAAGAAAATATTTTTTTTAAAAAAGAGTGGTGTCCCTTTTTTTTCCCTGGAGACTTCTATACAACTTTTTCCCCACCCCGAAATTTTTCTGTACAAAAATAGTCCAACAGTTGTGTGTTTTTTTGTTTTATAAAAGTTTGTTTTGTGTTGTTCAGTCTCTACATGTGCGTCAGCGGCAGCGTGCCGTTGATCGTCGTCCCGGGCACGGTGCTCTGGTAGTGGCCGGACATGTGTAGCCGGGTCTGGCCGCTCTGGTCGCCCACCTCCGCCCCGGGCAGGTACATGCTGATCATGTCCCGCAGGTCTCCGCTCTGGCAGCCCGGGGCGGCGCGGTGCGACGACGAGGTGACGACGGGCGGGCTGGAGCTGCTGGACTCGGACTTGACGGCCGACGCGGGCCCCATGGAGCCCAGCGCGGTCATGGCCGGCGCGCCCTGCTGCGAGTAGGACATGGAGTAGGTGGGCGAGCCGTTCATGTAGCTCTGGGAGCCGCTCATCGAGTTGTACTGCAGCGCGCTCATGTCGTAGCGGTGCATGGGCTGCATCTGGCCCGCGCCGTGCGCGTTCAGGCCCGGGTGCTGGTAGCTCAGCTGCTCCTGCATCATCCCGTAGCCGCCGTTGGTCCAGCCGTTCATGTGCGCCGCGTAGCTGTCCATCCTCTGGTTCACCCCGCCGCCCAGCCCGGCCCCGACCCCGACCCCGGTGCCCATCCCGTTGCCCCCGGGCGCCAGCAGCCCCCCCGGMAGGGTGTACTTGTCCTTCTTCATGAGGGTCTTGGTTTTCCGCCGGGGCCGGTATTTGTAATCCGGGTGCTCCTTCATGTGCAGGGCCCGCAGCCGCTTGGCCTCGTCGATGAACGGCCTCTTCTCGCTCTCCGACAGCAGCTTCCACTCGGCCCCGAGCCGCTTGCTGATCTCAGAGTTGTGCATCTTGGGGTTCTCCTGCGCCATCTTCCGCCTCTGGCCCCGGGACCAGACCATGAAGGCGTTCATGGGCCTCTTGACCCGCTCCGGGCTGTTCTTCTGGCTGGCGCCGTTGCCGGACGCGTTGGTGTTGCCCGTGGCCCCCGTGTTGGTCTGAGGAGCCGGGGGCTTCAGCTCAGTCTCCATCATGTTGTACATCACGAACAGCTTTTTTTTTTTCTGAGTTTGGACCCGGAGGAACACCAGAACCGAACTCCAGGAAGCAGAGAGCAGCTGCTGGGAGTTACCTGTCGACTGTCTCTGAAACTTTTCTCTGGGAAACGAGCATCAAGCCGCTTCTCTCCACGCGCTCTCCCTCTGTGGCAGCGCGCGTCCCTGTGTGTGTGTGTGTCCGTGTGTGTGCGCGCGTGTGACAGAGAGCCTTCTCCTCCCACCTCCAATAGGTCCCCGCTATGTTGTGTGTCCACAAAACTTCTTCCTCTTCCTCGAAAAAAAGCGTCAACAAGCCGCACTTTTTCTCCTGCTGTCCGCCCGAGCCGTGAAACACCGCGCAGAGTTTTCCAACAAGTTCATAGAGCAGCATTCATGTGACGGAGCTGTCAGAGAATAAATGGCTTCGACCTGACCAATCACAGCGCGCCTTCCCCGCTGGCCTACCAATAGGGGGGCTTAATTAGCATAAAGAGGCGGGGCCTCTTCCTCCGGAGCCTCACAGGCATGCTCTCCCTCTCACATGAGCCAACACTTTCATATTTACTATTTCCACGCTTAAAAAACATGTTTGTCCTCCCTCTTATCACGCATATAATATTTTACTAAAATATCATTTTATTTATTTCTTCATATAAAACAAGAATAAAAGAATAAACTCGCAGAACTCTTAAAAGTATTACATGCATGCTGCCAAACCAATAAAAACAACTTGCCAGTGATTTATACATAATTAATAATAATAATTACACCTCAGTTTTCAGCANAATGAGGGTAAATTGAATGAGGTTGTTGCACTCTAACACTGAACATGCAGACTCCACACCCTCCCTCCAACTGTGGCCTTCACTCAGACAAAATTCCACCTTCCTGGACAACAAAAGAGGACTGGAGCACTTTCACTGAGCTGCAGGAGCAGCAGCCTCACCTGTTGCATCAATCTGTCTGAGCGACGTCATTTAGAAACAATAATAATAATAATAATAATAATAATAATAATAGATGTAAAACCTGGCTTGATGAAAAGGAGTTTGAGCTGGGAGCTGCCCTCCTCCCTGCAGCAGGCAGCCAAGCGTTTGAACTTATTAAATAATACAGAGATGCTGATCTGCTTGTATTGTTAGGGAGGAAAAAAGGCCAATTAGAGCCCCTTGTACCATCATTGTGGCTGCATTAACTCGAATTTGTTCTAAGAATGTGCAAGTTGACGCTTACTTTTCTGCATCTATGGATGGAAATAAACCTGCAGGAWAACAGGATCAGTGGGATAAAAATAAACAAATAGATAAAAAGAAAAAGAAAGAGGCCTGTAGTTTCAACGATTAAGCAAAGGCAGAAAAAAGGCACAAAATTCAACTTAAAGAAAACAGTTTTAAACTTTTATTAAAGATGAAAWGTTTGCATGAAATGGTGGAAATCAGTTTGAATAATGAGTATTTATTAGGCTCAGTTATAACAGGATTTCTGGGCTAAACTCACAGATTCTTTTTGAGTTCCATTTCCAGAAGGTATTTTATCATTTCCTTACTTTTCTCCAATTAAGTTGCTCTTTATTTAAGTGTCCATTATTTTTGYATCTTGATTAAAACGTCGAGATTTCAATCAGGATTAAAAAAACAAAACGATTGTAGGGTTTTTGACTGGACTTTTTGATTTTTATCTCACTTTTACCATTAAGTGAGATCAACAAATTGTAGGAAGAAAATGAAGTTGTTTTGATTTTAACAGCAAAAGATGAGAAAATATTTAAAGTAAAAACAACTGAGTTAAACTTAAACTCAAGGTATGTTTTATTTTTATG